TGAAGCTATTTTACATCAAGAATGTATTTCTTACTCAATTTTTTTAATATATAATACACTTTTCTAATTAAGCAGCAGCCATTGCTAATAATATCTTGTGACTTACACTGTTTTTTGAGGATATGGCCCATTAAGTATATTTTCATTAAGAAGAGTATATGACATTTACACGGTACATGACACAACAGATGAATGATTTCTTCACCTATATGCTGGTATATTAACAAGGAAAGTCAATGTTCTGCACCTTTGCGATAAAATAAAAATAGGAATTTGCAATGAAAGTGAAATAAAAACAGCCAAAGACAAAACAAAAAAACAAACAAGAATCTGCAGGTTTTGCTAACCACTTTATCTATCATCTGCTTATCTTACCTCTCTGAAAGGCCAAGGGAAAATATGAGCTTTGTAGCATGTTCTGAAGGATAATAATACAGCATATTTTGCACCATAAGGATTTTCTCAGACCTTCATAAAAAGCTGTCACAAACAAGCAATATACACTCTCTCCAGAGTGAGCATGTGCGGAATTATGGCATGATTGGAAAGATCTTTTTCTTACTAGAGGAATCAGAAAACTTTTGCATCTCAAAAGTTCTGTAGGTAACTACTGCAAAGCTCAAATTACAAACAACAGGAATTAAAGGAGAGGAATAATGCACTCTTTAAAAAGCAACTGCCAGATTTTGTAGTCAGTTTCTAGACTGATGGAACTCCTAGACCAGATTTCTAATCCAAATGGTCTTAGTTGATTAAAAATAAATTTCAAAGTGGACAGAATCACATTGAAGAAAGAAGTTGTGTTCATGACATCTACTGCATAACTCATTTAAAAGTGGATAGATTTGCTAAAGCAATGGGCAATTGTGATTTGAGATTAAAAGTAAAACTTTTTTTTTAATTTAATTGAGGAAACTATTTTTATTAGTATTGAGATAATTGCTGCTGAAATGCAGACGAGTGGATGAAGAAAAGGCAAATTTCTAATATTGCTGCTGCAGTTTGGGTAGTTTCTCTGATACATGTTATTTTATGAACTGTTTTTTGTGACAAAGATTGAAGAAGATAAATCTTAAAGTAGTTAATAAGGGCAGTTAAGGGCTGGAATGAGAAGACTGTGGCAGAACATCCCCCTCATTGCCAGTCAAATAACTGTATGTTCAGTACAAAACCAAACAGGTAACTTTCCAGTGCGAGAGTCTAAAATTTCCTACCCTTCATAATATCCTGCAGAAATCTAAATCCTCTGGGATATTGCCCATATCCATTTTTCACTGCATTTTTCACTTCCCTAGTAACATTCTAAAGAAAATCAAAATGGTAGTCAGACATATGAGTGAAACAGCTACAATGACTTTCATTAATAGACCTAGTACACAACTATATTAGTTTACATCTAAAATGGAACTCTCAGGCACTTCTCTGAGGCAAACCTTGGCAATGTGTTGGTTTTAGCAGCCAATGCCATAAATTAGATTAATCTGATGCAAAATGTTATATCCTATCCCAAATTATTCAAGATATCCCAGATTTTGATGCCAATCCAGTCCTTGTATTATATCCAAATTTAATAAAGTGTTTAAATTTTTTTAGTCATAATGACTTTTAGCATGACTATTCTGGTGAACTATGAGAACTGCATAAAGCAGTCTGACAGTAATATGCATGTTTATTTGCAAACATTAGAAAGTGTGACATTTCTTTTATTCACACCCGTAATTATTTCTTTTGGATAAAGGAAGCAATAAAATGTTCCCCTGTAAGCAGAAAAGGAAGATACTATCACTATCTAATTTTCACTGTATTTCAACTTGTATTACACAACTCTCACTACTTTTAAGTCTACTTGTTTCATTTAGTACGAAATTGTAGAGGTAGTATATTCTTTGAAGATAGCTTATCTTCAGTAGCTGAAATGCATTTGTTTTAGTGAATTGGAAAGACAAAAATTTTTCCATCATAGGACTACATCAAAAGAGCTCCAAACAATTAGGATTACATTAAGTAGTAGGAATTAGCATTTTCTTTCAAAAAATTACAAAATCTATTTTTTTTATTATTATTATCATCCGTGATGTCTGTTCATAATACTTAACATATGCACAACAAAGAAAATTCCACTCTCTGCACATGCACTGTTAGAATATGCAGTATCTCCTACATTTTCATCTTGCCTTCGCCAACTTCCCAGATACTGTTGTTCAAAACTTTTTTATCTCACTGAAAACCAGTTCCTAAAGGAGTAAATGTTTCAAAGCTCTAGAAAGTTGCTGAATAAGTTACAGTAATTTCCCATCAAAGTTATTTAAAGTCTTACTACGCTGTATTTGCAGTTAATTAAATTAAATGTTAACTTTATACAAGTAATGCATATTTTGAGAATGACTCTATCAAAGCCAATTGTCAACAATATATATGTAACTGTCAATAAAGAAAAAAACATGTGAAGTTTTTATATATACAACATATATATCTTTTTAATTAACTGAGGCACATGTGAAAATGCTTGAGATGACAGTGAGAAGCAATTCCAAATCTTTCTGACATCTGTGTCACTAAGGTTTTAAATGTTAGAATCATAGAATCACAGAATTGTTTAGGTTGGAAAAGATCTTTTAGACCATCAAGTCTGACTATTGAACCAGCACTGCCAAGTCCAATACCATGTCTCTAACTGTCATGTCTACATGACTTTTAAATCTCTCCAGGAATGGTGACCCAACCACTTCCCTGGGCAGCCTGTTCTAATGCTTTACAACTCTTCCTGTGAATATTTTCTTTTCCTAATATCCAAGCTAAACCTCCCCTGGTGCAACTCGAGGCTGTTTCCTCTTGTCCTGCTGCTTGTTAGCTGGGGGAAGAGACTGACCTCCACCTCATCGCAGTCTCCTTTCAGGAAGTTGTAGAGGGCCATAAGGTCTTCTCTCAGCCTCATTTTCTCCTGGCTAAAGAGCTCCAACTCCCTCAGCTATTTCACATAAGGCTCATACAATTAGCCTTGGCCCATCAATCCACTCTGTTCAGATCCCCCTGCAGAGTCCTCCTACCCTTGAGCTGATAAACACTCTCTCCCAACTCGGTGTCATCCGCAGAATGTCATCTTAAAACAATGTCCAAAACCGTTTCCAGTCTTCTAAAGTGAATAGAATTATTAACTATTAATTGCTCAGTAATTAACCTGAATCACAAAAATGGTATGCATTCCTTCTTTTTCAGTAGCAAAAATCAGTGTGGGCCATTGCCTGAGCTGTCCTGAAAGAGTGTATTTTCTTTGCAAAGGAAAGAAGATAGCTCTTTCTTCCTTTCCTTTTTAGGCTCGAAAGGAAAGGTGAAAAATAGAAATTAGTTTGTTTTTCTTTCCAGCTAACCTGATTTACAGGTTCAACTTATTTTCTGCTCAATGGAGTGGGGAGAAAATGCATAAAATAAGTGTACTTGCACCATGGAAATTAATGGATCTCTGAGGGATGACCATGACATGAGTTCTAATGCTCCAGCACCAGAGGAAAGGCTGATTTTCTTAAGTTCTCCCACATTGCTGAGGGTTCAGGTATTCACACTTTTGTTTTCTTCAGGATCTTAAATCTTTCTTAAAATGAACAAAAAAAGAATAACAACTGAATTCTAAGGGATTTAAACTAGTTAACTAACTTGAAATTTTATGTCTTCAGTCCTTATCCACTTTCTTTTCCACTTTGGCATTCTCCCTTAGTTGTCTTTAACGGACTTGCAGAGTACTTGAGTATTTAGCTGCTATTCATACAGAAGCTGCTTAATGCCTTATGATATTTATATCTCTTGTCTAAAAATAATTTTAAAATCTATTTTCTCTATTTTGACATGGAAAGGGAGTTATAACCAGGACTGCACATGTTATTAGATTTTAGAGAATCCTACTTTTGTCACTGTCATAGAGATAATTGTGTTCTATTTCTTTCTGGTAAGAGAGAACCTTACACTTGCTTTTAGCTGCCATTAGCATGGCTTGGTTTATGGTATTCCCTTTCTGGGTGACAAGCACAAGTGCAGTGAATTACTGGCTTTTGTTCCTTACATTAATTTGTGATGTTACTGTGTGGTCTGAAGCTTAAGTGTGGTTTCCACGCTGGAAAAAAATTATGAAAGAGACGATAGTTGAAATGCAGCAACAAATTGTATTGTCAGTCTCACTGACTACTCACTGCCATACCTGAGGCATCAAGGTACAATAAATATAATAATACACTCACCACTAGTTTCCCATTGTTGCCCTGCAAAAGTTTTTCATTTAACTACGTTTGGACAGATACAGCTAATAAAAAGTTTATTCCAGTAAAAGGCTTTTGTTCCTCCTGTACTCCTCCACAAACTTTTAAAGAAGTAATTTACTCCTGAGAGATGAGCAGACAGCTAGATTTCTTTCTTCTTGCTGGAGAAGAGGACTTGGACCTATTTCAAGCTGCCTGATAGGAACTAGGCACCTGAAGATCTCACTAGGTGCCTAACTTTCCTATAAATTGAAACTAAGAATTTCTCTTCCAAGGCTGTAGATTCTTTCAGCACAGATATTTGGTCATTAGACACATCTATGTACAAAGAACCTACTACCTGTCTCATTTTCTTTTCATTTTATTCTTCTTCAGTTGCAAGTATTCTTCCTTTCAAAGGAATAATAAATCCTATTATGAGTTGCAAGTCAGTGACAGCCATGGAAGTCATGGACATACTGCGCAGCATCTTCCCTGACTGAATGTTTATGTTTGCTATGGTACATGATTTCAATGAGAGTAAATTTATTTCCTCTAAGCACATCAGGGATGTGATGAGCAATGTCCAACTGTACTGTAGTTTTAAAATTCTTTCCAAGACGGTGTTGTCATCCACACTGCCATAACATGATTTTATTGCACGTGTTCAGGTATCATTCATAGTTAATGAGATTTAATATCTTTACAATTTACTAACTACCAAATCTATATGATCTTTGAAACAATTATGAATATAGACAACAGTAAACTTACCTAATTTGCACATTATACTGGTGTCCATCATCCACTCTAGCAGTGGTAGTGATGTTTTTGACTTCTGCTGCCTCATCACATAGAAACTGGTACTGCAGAGTGGGAAAAAGTTTTAATTACATTATTTCTAATAATTAAACAATTGCAGGCTTAGAAACTTGAGTTTTAAAATAGCAGATGGTTTCATAAAAACCTGAAGGGTGTCATGCGTATCAAGGAAAACTAATGTTTCATTAAAAGTTCTGGATCAGGAAGTCTTTTGCACCAGAAATATGCAAGTACACATACATGCTTCCTAGCCTGCATGAAAATGCTTTAATCTTTGTGTATTGTACAACCAGATATTGTGGTTCTGAATTGCAAAGAAATTGACCATCTGGAACCCATCTGAAATTAACATTGGCCACGGGTGAATTTTCTTACCGTTTTATGGCTTCCTTACGCTTCCAAACACGTAATGTAGCATGCAGGCTTGAGCATTTTGGAACGCCATTTAATTTCCTATACTAATGTGAACAAGCACTTGATTTCATGGTTTGTCTACTTGTAATTGTAACTTGATTGTGAGCTTAGAACTATTTGTTCACTGGACTTTAAATATACATTTAATTGGCCAGCTTTGTGAATGATTAAGTGAATTCAATTAGTTTTAACATGACACACTGGGATCTCTGAATAGATTTGTGTCAATTAAAGTACTTTCATATTTTATGGTGCTTATGATATGCTAGAAAAATATTTTTCTTCATCATTACATTACCATGAATACGAGTAAGACGGACTTAAAGTTGTCAGCATTTTCTAAACCTTTGATAACTTCCTGCCCATGACTAATCGCATTTGTTTTGGATAAAGATAGTCACAATATAACAAAAGACAGTAAATCACAATATAAAGAAATAAAGAAAAATGTTATTTTCTTCTTTTTCTGTTTATCTTCACTTTATATATCTATTTAGTGTGATCATGCTTTTTAAACATAAGGCAAATATAATTCAAATATGCTCTTTCTAACAGTCATTTCATGGTTCTTACAGAAGAAGGTCAACTTTTGGAAATTTTTAGCAGGAAAAAATGTGAGAAAACGAATTTTTCTTTTAATATCTCTTTATAGCCTCTTTAGTATCTGCCTATCTCTTCATAAAGCTTAAGTTTTAGCTCTTCCTCAGAAAAGAAGGAATTCTTTGCCAAAGACAAAGATATACCATGGTCACATTTTTTCCTTAAAGTTTATAAACAAATGTATTCCTAGTTAGTCTGTTCCGGAAAGCCATGGACATATCATATGGAACTGTGGTTTAAGTAATAAATGAAGTTAAAGGTTTTTACTCAGAGACACAGAGTAAATTTTCCTGACACTTCACTCAATTCTACAGCCTCCCTTATGATAATTTTAATGAAGCTGTGCATGAGGTTCAGTAAGTTTAAGTTTCATATATTAAATACAATAACTTAATTATCACTCTGAAAGACAAAACCTACATTCTTTATTGTTGTGTTTTAATATGTACTTTTTGTATGAGATTCCAAATATAATCAATATAAGATTTTCCTTAAGTCCCACCTCTTATGGGACATATCAATTGTATTAGCCATGAATTGGCCATAACAGACAGCAAGTTTGATAACTATTTTCTTTAAAATACTAAAGAATGTCAAGATTCTCTGTAGATTTATTTACTATCTTCTACAGTAAGAAAAAAAAATATTAAAATTTTTATAAATCCTTACTTTTATTTACTTCTCTTTCAGTGGGATACTTGGAGGCCTTACCTGTAAGGTACCATTATTGATGAGAAGTCGAATTAAAAAATGTATTGTTTCTGGGCTGTGTTCAATATTTAGGAGGAGTCCATGAGGATTACAGGTCTTGAACTGCAGATGGATGAAGTTTTGTATGTTCAAATGTAAGCCTTGAAATTCCAGGTAAGAATTGCCATAATAGCGAGCATAACTAAAATCTGTAAACAGAATTTTGAGAGATATAGGGTTTTAAACACATTTTTCTTCTTCACACACTGTTTTCTTATTCTGCTAATGGTAGCAAAGATAAAAGGTATTTCTTTACATCTGTCAAGGAGACAGACACGAATCTGAAAATTGATGTTAGTTTTCTTCTGTCAAAGATAACACAAAATGTTTATAAAACTATACATAAAGGTTTGGTCAAATTATATGAAGTATGTAGCTAGGATCAATGCGTGAAAAAAGAATAGGCTATGAAGATAATAGCACTTGGTACATATCTGGTAGCTTTGGCTCAACATAAGTCAAGAACAGGTTTTTTTCAAAGTTAGGTGTTTTAATTAAAGTTAAATCCAGGAATGAATGGGTTAGAAATCTTTACAGAAACCACATGCTATGGAAAGGGAGCAAGATATTCTACAGCCTAACTATGAAAGTGACATCTCAAATACGTCAACTATTTTGTTCTAAGACAAACAATGTGGGGCCAGGGTGAAAGTTGGAAATATCCATTGTGACTACATCTAGCTTGTCTGTTTGATTTATCTAGATATCTCTTACCCTTCAGCACCCTGTGCTATACCTTGCAAGGGCACATGCAGCTCTTATTTAAATGGAAAAGGTATGTGGAATCATGGCTTCAAGCCCATCAGAGATAACAGAGAGCTACACTTAAAAGGGCCTCATTTTTTTTTTATGTTCTCTTTCTTCCCCCTCTTTTCTCTTCTCCTTTTCTTTCTTTTCCTTTCCCTTTCCTATCCTCTTCTTTTTCTTCTCTCCTTCCTTCTTTTCTTTCTTGCTTCCTCTCATTCCCTTCCTTCCCTCCTTCCCTCCCTTTCTTTTTTCTTTCTATTTCTTTTTTCTCCTTTTCTTTTAGTTTCTCTTTCGTTTGTTCTATTTTCTTCATTTTTCTTTGTTTCCCATTCTCTTTCTCTCTCTCTCTCTTCTATTTTCTCTTCCCCTTCCTTCCTTTGTTTTTTTTCTTCCCTTTTCTCTCTTTCTCTTTCTGTCCTTTCTTCTCTCTTTCACTGTGTTGTCTTTTTACAAAGGAAGAGTATTCAACATGAACAATGGGTACCCATTCATACGGAAATGCAGTCTTGCATTTAGTTTTTTTACTTCTCAGGTACTCAAACTGAGCCTCACATCGCCACCTTTATGTGCTTTTAAGGACTTAAATATGTGGGTCCCCTCCCATCCATGTGACAAAAGGAGTTAAGTATTTTTATTTTTTGCAGGAGCAGGTTTATGCTTTAGTCTCATTTGAATCACACAACATACAATTATTTGTTTGATCAACTTTATGAAACAGATAAAAATTTAAAGAAATACTAAAAATTCACTCATCATGTGAAAAACATCAGTACAACAATATGAACTTAGATACAATATACAAAATATAATAACTGAATAATTCTATTTCAATTTGTTCAAATGTCATAGAATCATCTGTAGAGGGATTTTGAGTATCTTTGAAGGTCACAGATCTGTTTCTATTTTACAAAACAGACAAAATTTTAATCTGTTGTGACACCAACTCCAATAGCAAATACATCATTATATGTGCTAAAATTCTCAATGTCAATGATACTTGGATAAAAATAAAAACTATTGATGTTGAACTCCTATATATCACTGTAAGAATATGCTGAATTTTATCCTTTCATGACTTTTCAGAAACCTATTTACAAAGTCAAAGTCACTGTGGTCAAACCCCAAACAAAGCCCTTAAGAAATTCTCAGTACTATAAAAAAATCTATATTATACACACACATAGAACATGCAGTAAAATAGACCAAAAATTTCAAGCAATACCAATCAATGACCAGTGCTGCAAAAAACCCCCACCCTAAACACAAAAACAACAACAAAAAAACCCTCATAATTTTAAATGTATTTAATCTTTAAAAAGTCTCTTTTGTCTTAAATTTTACAGACAGGACAATTTCTCCAAGGAAAGATTTTAGAGAATTATCTCCAATCCCTAACTGTTGTTTGGTTTCCTTCCTGAGCTAGCCACTGAGCTCTAAATCTTTCTCTCATTCCTTTTGCGCTGAACTGCTCCTGCAGATGGTTTTGCTTCTTCCAAGGAACCTCTCAGTTATCCCCACACTCTTTGGATACTGATATCTAACCTCATATATACATAGATCAGAGATATACTGATATCTCTTTTTCATGACTTCCGTTAGGAGATCAGCTTGGCTGAAAGACAGCAAAGTTGCACAGAATATCTCTTTCCTGCAGTCCTAACTCCTTCTGTCACCTTCTCAATTTTTTGTAAGTGGGTTGTTTTTATTGTTTTGTGTTTTTTTCTGCACTGTCCAGCATATAATAAAGTCGACATGTGAGAAAAGGTCAAAACTACATCAGCTCCTCAGTGCTTTGCTAACAAAAGGCATCTGAGCCCCTAGATCTCACAAAAGAGTAAAATCTGTAATTGTGAGAAGAATATAAAGGTGGGTAAGGGAAAAAAGCAGTTTATTCATGATTCCTGAAACTATAATCTAAATCTGAGGACAGAGTGGATTATCTACTAAATTTCAAGGAAGACCAAACAAGCACAAGCTAGTGGCATCCACATTTAGCTTTCTATGTATAATTGCAGCAAACACTGCAGATAAAAAATGGACTTTATTCTAAATGACACCCATTTCTACTTATCTTTGTATGTCCAGAAGTGATGATGCCTTGCAAGCCAATACAATCCATTATTACATGTATTTGAGGCTAGTTTGGCTTCTTTTGGGAAATATGTTTTGCTCCTAAACAGAGAACTTCACAAAAGAATTATCTGCAGTAAAATTGCTACAATTGCTCTATGTCCATAAATATGGAAAGAGTTAATGAGAGAAAGCATTGAAGAATATTTAGCAGGCTCCAGGTTTCTGTGAAATCCATAAAAACATACTACTCCAATCAGAAATAGGCTACATACCTTCCCACAATAGCTATTAACATAAACCACTGGTGTGATTTTACCTATTAAGATTCTCACATTGTTTGTAATAGTACACAATCTCTTCTTATAGAACATAAGCTTTGCTTATAATCCTTCTACTACACTTATATGCAACTTTTTCACTTGACCTCTAGAGCTGGCTTCCTAGATTACTTTTTGTCCTAACGGAGACTGCTCATCACCCAAGCCTTTAGAACAAAAAAGGAAAAATTGAAGCAGTATTTTATCTTTCACTATGAATGTCTAACATTTGCTTTCCTAAGAAACAGGCAAGCCCTTTGGCCTATAAAATCCTTTCAGCTGTACCTTGCTCCCCTGTGTATGTAACAGCTCTCCATGATTTTCTGTTTACAAGAATTCATGTTAATGTCAGAAGTTAAAAGGTTTGAGTTCCAGCTGTAATGGTAAGAGGATACACAGGCAGATCTGCAACCCAGTTCACTGTCAAGGTTCATTAACTCTTGCCACTACCTACTGGGTTTCTCAATTCCAATGAGTTTCAGCTGCACCAGCTTCAGAATGGAGACCTGCAAATTTAAAACTTTTTGAAAGCCACACAATTTTAAGTCTTGGTTTTTAAAGGTAGGTAGGGATAATAAAAACTTTTAATATGTCCATGAGCATGTGCTCCTGGTGATGGAGCTTTTGTCTCCATATATTTCTATGTCTAATGCACACTCTGCTATTTGCACGGACTCAGGCACAAAGGGGATTATGATGATGCTTTTCTTCTTTATTCTACTATTCTCTTTTTTTATGCAGCACCCTGGAACAAAACACTCCTGTTTAAGCTATCAGTCTTCCCTTTTTCATGGACACATCCATCACATCTTTTGCTATTCTTTTAATTAGAATTATCTTACAAAATTCAAAGAGAGAGCATCGCTACTTGTGGGAAGAACTCTGTCATGAAAAATCTGAACAATTAATTTGCTATTTGAAATTCTTATTTATTTTTATGAAGAAGGGACACATTTCTTAACACTATAAAACCATGGTAATAAAAAGTTGTTTAAAACTGGGGAATGCCAAGCGGAAAAAAAGTTTCAGAAAAGCAAAACAAAGAAGTCAGAGCAAGGACTATATCACAGGTCTGGCTGCAGACCTCTCCAGCCCAACAGCTAACTTCCAATGGCTGTCTATGGCTCAGGCTTACACAAACAGCACGCAAGGAACAATGCTTCCCCTGGGACAGCCTGTTAATTTCCACCCTAAAAAGTGCCATGGCTTCCTCAGCGAGGGTGTGCTCATGTTTCATCAGAGCTGCTACCAGCTTCCATGGGCCTGGCTGTCAGGCAAGGCCCCTCCAATGGCCACACCAATGGTTGTGCCATCGGCTGCCCTGCACACCGTGGTCCCCTCTTACCCCTTGCTGAGAAGGCTGGAGGCTTGTGATCTCTGGCAGCAGGAGGACAATTTGTGATTGACCAGCAATGCCCAGGGCATTGCTGAAAGCAAACAAGATTGTTCAGGAGACCCCTCAGAGCCAGATCAGCCCAGAGCTGATATCTGCAGAAGGGGGCAAAGATAAGTGAGACCATTACTGAAGACTCTCTTCTGTGATGTGTGGAGGCACCAATAAGACTGCAGAGCTCTAGATGTGAGGGAAAAAGGCATGGGGGCCCTCAGTCCTGCCATCAAGGAGGAAAGTCTTACAAGGAGGTAGAGCCTATGGTCAGGCTCTTTGTAGACAGGAATAACAGAACGATAAACTGAAGTCCTAAATTGAAACAGATATCTTGCAACAGTGGAAACATGTTTGCTGTCCTAACTACAAAGAATTAATGTCTCCTTGTTTTTTTTTTTAATGTCACAGAATATCAAAGCTGGGTTAATAGATAATATTAGTAATATGATGTCTTTTTTTTTGTTACCACTTCTAGAAACTTCTGTTTCTTGTGGCCTATGCATGTAACAGTGGTTTCTTGTTTTCTTTTTACTCTCAATATGCTGAAAGTACCTCAGCTTTCATTTTTCTTATGTTTCTGGGGGGTTTCTTTCGAGATGCCATATATAATGAGTCATGTCAATCA